ATCTATCTATCTATCTATCTATCTATCTATCTATCTATCTATCTATCTATCTATCTATCTGCTGCCTGACTGTCAATGCAATAATGCAATATGACTGCTCCCGCTGCCTCCAGCTGCCTCCTGCGCCTGCCTCCATCACTCCTCCACTGCTGCCATGCCTTCTCAGCGATGGTGGAATGTGGCTCAACCTGTCAGGTTGAGCCTGGCTTCCTGTCAGGTATTTAGCCACAACAATGAGGAGTTTAATGAAAACAACTCCATATTTGCAGGGACAAGCACACACATTTGGAGAGAGAACAAAACCCAATCTTCATTTGTTTCTAGGGCTTCAGCTTTTCAGTTTCCCTCTCTCAATAAAATCTTCAACTCCACAGACTATCCCTCTAAGAGATTGGCTGTGGCTGCCATTTATCCCGCCAGGTTAACATTTCTGATGTTTACTTGAACAAAGCTTGTGCACAGAGCTATTTTTTGAGAGGATTAATTTTCATTGAGTATGCAAATCTACTTTAAATATAACAAAACCCCGTGATTCTAGAGCACTGACCACTGGTGTGTGAGCTGACTTTCTTGGTTATTTAAATAGCAAAAGCACTGCCCAGCATGAGAGACAGTACTCCAGGGACAGAAGTCTTGATGAACTATCCTGGCAGAATAGAAACCAGAGGGAAAGCAAGAGCCTTTGGAAGCAGCCTATGAATGGGCGGCTGTGCTTATCTGGAGATTTCCATACAGCTGAATATTGAACTCTTTAAGAAGCACACACAAGTTGTGAGAAAAAGGATTAGGAAAATTCTGGTTAATCTGGATCAAATTGTGGAAGTCTATTTCCCAGACCTGTGCACCTTATCATTGTCCCTCCCTGACAGATGGGCCAGGCCACCATTAGCATCTCTCAGGAGAAACTCCAAAATCTAGATATTCCCACACCCACTGTATTGAAATAGAACCAATTAGAATTTTCATCCATATGCCATCCACCCATCCATCTGAGAAGCACACAGGTCTATTTTCAAGGCAGAGATCCTGCAAACCTCATTATTTTCATTTATTATACCTTATTATAAACATCAACTATTGAGTCATAACTCAAAAAAAAAAAAACACATTGCTTTGCTTATTTCCCATAAATTGACTTCTATCTCACAAATACAAATCTTTCTAAGTAAGACTTTGAAGTCTCCATTTTAGGCTCACATTTGCAGAGTGAAAAAAAAAAAGGAGAAACAGCATTTTGAGGTCTTCCTCAACACCTGATCTTATGATCTTTGAGTAAGCTTTTGCCATTTATAATCTCATGGAGACCTCGTCTTATATACCAAGAAGGGAGGGGCTCACTTGGAGTCACCAGCTAAAAATCAAAGGTGGAGAGGAGACCCAAACTGTCTCCTTCATTAGCTGTTTCCTCTCTGTGTCAGATGAGCTGCCAACACACTCAGATGTTAGTTCTGAGTCCCCTAATTTCCAGGTAAGTCAATGTTCATTTGATCCCATTGCATTATCCCAGTGCCCCAGCCATGCATTTTCTGGTAACTATCATCCTTTAGTTATTCTTCATTTTTCTTCTCTTCACTTTCCTTTCTTCCTCACAATTTAATTGTTAATTCAAGCAAATGTGAGCTAAGTTACTCCTCCTTGGGCTCCATGTCTCCAACCTGGGATCCAGTCTAGCTCAGGAGCCAGGGTTTTTCTTCTGCTCAGAATTCCACCTTCTCAGAATTTCACCTTCTCAGCTAAGTTTGCTTTGAGTCTTTGTCCTTAAAGACCATCGTCCCTGGTCCACGCTCTGGTGTCCGGGCCCACATGCCTGATATTCCTTGAGTCTCTGGTTTCTCTATGGATCACACGTGTTCTTCCTCACCATGGCCTCCTCTGATGTTCACATTCCTCTCCTATCACACTGTGCTTCTCCTCGTCTCTCTTTAACTCCCCAAAGTCTGGTTGGTGCTCTGTGAGAGACAAAGATTCTAATGAGAAAGCAGAGCATGTCATAATATTCTTTATCCTAAAAGGGTAGGGGACTGTCTGACCCCTACTGTGGTGCAGCTCAGCACACATCCATCCTTTGTGCATTCCCAACAAACACAACTATGCACCCTGCTCAGGGATTATAAATCTCTAATTCCATGTGTTAGCCTCACTTTAAAATGGTTTTGACGGATATATGTAACTAGCCTACACAGGCCTTGCTTTGTCTAAGACTAACCATTGTCAGAATCCGTGGAATCATGACACAGTTATTTCTGGTTGAAATTTAGAGATGCTATAGATCAAATTACAACCCCTAAAAATTCCTAAGTCCTATGTTTCACAATGTGTCATTATTTGGAAATGCAATCATTATAGATGCAGTTAATTAAGAGTTGGTCCTCCAGGCAAAACCCTAGTCCAGTGTTGTATCCTTATGAAAAGAAGAAAATTGGAGCTAGAGACAGATCTGCAGAGGACGAACACTGTGTCAAGATGAAGGGAAAGACTGGAATAATGCTTCTACAAACCAAAAAATACCAAAGATGGCCAGCAGCTGGGGAGAGACCCAGATAGATTCGCCACAGCCTCAGGGAGAATCAGTCTGCAGACACCTTCACTTTGACCCCCTGGCTGTCAGAACCGCGCTTAGAGTAACATGCCACCTGCTGTTCTGAGCCAATCAGGCTGTCACAGAGGTATGGAAGCTACAAATGAAAGCAGGCAGCATGGGACAGCGGGCAGAATGAGCAGGGTGAATGGGAGACAAGCAGATTTAGATCTTAAATATCAAGCATCATCATGGAGAAATTAAACGCTGTGGGAAGCCAAAAAGAAAGAATAGCATATTATATTTACTACAAACTGTTGCATGGTTTCTAATTTGTATTTAAGCAAATGTTTCCAATAGTGTGGAATACCATGTGTTTTGAAGGCTATGAAGGTGAGACACAGTCAAGAGATCTTTTGGGTTTCTCGTTGGTCATATACTTTGCTTTTGATTCCAAATGCTTATTTTTCAGGCTGTGTTAATCCACAAGCATCCTTTGTGATATAGGGAGAAAGTACAAAGCCGTGGCTTGAGCTACATTTATGCTGAGGAGAGACTTAATCCCAATTATCCAAATGGCTTTGGCCCCAAGCCTCTATTTGGTATTTTTAGCTAAGAATTAGCCTCAGGGTTTACTGGAAAATTCAGAGTTCCGAATTA